ATAAGCAGATGTAAGCACATGTTTAATACCAAAATTGTTGCAAAATTTTTCAAAATCGTTACTCGTAAAGTTAGTGCCGTTATCAGTAACTATAGTTTCAGGTATTCCGTATAGCGAAATAGTTTTAAAGATTTCTTTTAAAGTAACATCAGTCGTAATATTTTTAACAGGAATAATAATTGGAAATTTGCTGTAGGCATCGACTATTATCAACCAATTTTTTGTAAAAAACGGACCCGCATAATCTATATGTATCCTTTCAAACGGTTTGGTTGCCGAAACCCATGGTTTCTGTATCTTTATAGGATTATCGTGATATATATTACAATCGTCACAACTCTTCACTTCCATAACGATATCATTATTTATGCCAGGCCACCACATGTAATCTTTGGCTAAGGATTTGATTTTTCCTGCTCCCAAGTGACCTTCATGTAATGACTGTAGTATAGTTTTTCTCATATTAGACGGAATTATGATTTTATTTTGTAAAGACAATCTTTAATTATACTTAATTCCAATTCAATGTTTTTATAAATATTATTCATTATAGGTCTGTTGTTTTTAATATCATTTATGACTTGTTTTAATTCCGTATCTTTCAAAGTTTCATCACGAATTTGATCAAAGTTAATAGGTAAATCCTCATATTCATTTATAATGGTTACGTTTTCAATAGTTTCATCACGACATTCTTGTGGTAATCTTGAAAGGCAATCAGGAACAACATTATATTTACCGGCTTTATACTTTATATTAAAATCATATCCTCCTAATGTAATATTCCACTTCTGGAGTCTTAACGACATGGTGCTATTATCCTTAAGACCCTTGGTGAAGATGTGAACTAGAGGCTTATGGTCAGTAATAATTGTAAATTTTGTGCCGATTAAATATTCCTGAAATCTCTTAATAGCTAATATTATAGCGAGAGCCTCACGCTCAATATTGGTATAGTTCATTTCAGATTTTAATAAAGTTCTCGACGCGAAAGCTATAAGTATTTTCTTTACCATCTTTTTCAATATGAAATAGTACAGCTCCTAAACCACATTTTGATGCGTCAGTGGCTATCCCTATAGGTAATTCAGGGTTAAAATATGTCAAAGCAGGTGGAAGACTAATTAACTTCTTTAGATCATTAAAACTTTTAGAGTGTTCTAGGTTCCAAGCCCATTTTTCTTTGTTGACAATCTTATAAAGAGGATCGGCAATTTCCGCAAAATTGTTCAAAAATTTTCTATAGTAGCCAGCCATTCCCAGAAATGTTGATAATTCAGCAGCTGATTTTGGTTCTGGCATATTAATTATTGCTTTAATTTTGTCGTGATTAGCATGAATCCCCTTAGCGTCAATATCATGACCCAGGAACCTCACTTTGTTTTTAAAGAACACACTTTTATTAAAGTTAGGTATTAGCCCATACGATGATATCCTATCAAATACTTTTTTTATGTTGTTTAGGTGGGCTTCATCGTTTTTTCCAGTTATAAGTAAATCATCAATATAAAATATAACGTCATCCATGTCACCGAAGATTTGATCCATGATCTGTTGAAAAAAAGCAGATGAGGTCTTAAGCCCAAAAGGAAGTCTAGTAAATTGGTAATATCCCTTATGCGTAGATATGGTTAAAATATTTCTGCAACTTTTATCAATTGGAATCTGTAAGAAAGCATTTTTAAAGTCAATCTTCGTAAATTTCTTTCCTTCCGAAAGTTTAGCAATTATATCATTAATTCGTGGTAGAGGGTATCTAAAGTCTTCTAGAGCTGGGTTTACAGTATCCTTAAAATCAGCGCAAAGCCTAATGCTCCCATCATCTTTGTAGACAGCGGTAACAGGACTTGCCCATCGGACATCATTCACCGGCTCAATAATTTTATCATGTATCCAATTTTTAAGTTCATTACTAACAAGATTAATTTTTGAATAAGGAATGCGTCTAGGCGGTATAATTTTAGGTTGGGCATCACTTCTTAAATGTAACTTGACACTTGCTTTGTTAATTGGCCCATTAGTCAATTTCGATTCACACTCTTTAATCAATTTTTTTATTTCATCTTCGTAATTAGTGTCAATATTTGCTATAAATTTATTTAAAATATTATTGAAAGCATTGATCCACGTACGTCCCAACAAGGCATTTTTACTTGATTCAACCACTACCGCTTGTAAATATTTGGAAATACCATCATAAGTCACTTTAACTTGAGTAGTTCCTATGATTTTGATTAAATTCCCGTCATAAGCAGTGAGTTGTAGCTCAGATTTCTTAAGATCTCTAATACCAAATTTTTTAGCCAGACCATGAGGTATAATAGTGTATTTGGATCCAGTGTCCACTTGCATACAAGTAACAACATCGTTCACTTTTACAGTAGTCATAAATGCGTTATCTTTGTCATTAATCACGTCACCAGATAAATTGTTGACATTAAAATCATTATCATCTTTGTTCTTTGTAGAATCAACTTTCTCTTCAATAATTTCCTCAATATTCATGTTGTAATCATTATTGTATTGTATTTGCTTTCTATTATTTTCGTCGCCACTTCTATAATTATTTGAGTTGTTATTATATTGTATTTGCTTTCTCTGATTATTATCATTACCTCTATAATTATTTGAGTTGTTGTTATATTGTATTTGCTTTCTCTGATTATTATCATTACCTCTATAATTATTTGAGTTGTTGTAATAAGATTGGTAATTGTTACGATTTCCGTCACCGTATTGGATTTGTTTTCTTTGATTATTATCATACCATGTATTATTTCTACCATAATTCGATTGATTATTATTATTATAGCGATAATTGTTATAGTTATAATTGTTATAATTATCGTGGTATCGCGAATTATTATTATCATAATTGTATCTAAAATTAAATTCCCATTTCTATATCTATTATCATAATTATTTCTAAAATTATTTCTAAAATTATTATCATTTCTACTGCAAAAATTTTTATCTTTATCGGAATTTTTATCATTATTTATATAACTTATATCATTATCCTCATACTTAATATTACTAGAGTCCAGTTTCACCCCTAATTCCACCATCTGATTCAATGTAAGGTCAAAATTTTTTGAGAATTTGTATTTAATTTTATCGTTTAAAGTAGATGTCCGTAATTTCTCTTTTAATCTACTATCATCCAAAAAATTACATTTCTTATGAAGTTTCGATACTCTAATGTACCACAGCATAAAACTCTCTGATGAGTTTTGTTGAAGAAGATTAAATTTATTAATTAAAGTATTTAAATTTAGCGCTGGTAAAAGATAGGTTAACTTTTTAATCACAATTTTAAGATCTAAAATATCGGTATCAGAACAAATTGCCTTAATGTCGTCAAAAACTTCGTCTGATAAATTATTAAGCAAAGTATTAATTTTAATAGAGTCCGATAATGTACTGGTCGAAAAGTAATTTAATATTCTGTCTAAATAAATTTCAGTAAGAGGACCCACTAACTTAGGGATCTTATGTGTAAATTCTTGTTTAATTTCCATGTTTAATTAATAAGACACATAAATAAGCAATTATAACATTTATTATTTTATTAATTCAAGTTTTGGTATAACTATTTATGATTTAACGAATATACAAATTAATTCAATGAAATCAATATCGCCGTAAATATAGTGTTTCCCGTTTAATAATTCAAAGCAATTTATCATGTCTCTTAAATTCATAAATTCAAACAGTACATCCTCCGTACCGTTTATCCTATAGAAGTTGACATCGGAATTATAAGTTAACTCAAATAAAATATCGTAGATGGAAATTTGATGGGGTACATTTAGTAGTTTGAAGGCGAACATAATTGATGAAAATAATTTTGAAATGACTTACCCTTTTTTTTATCCATCTTATATAGAATTGTTTGTACCATTTTATAATTTTTTTTATTAACCATATTTACAAAGGGAAAAAAATTTTATTTTTAAAAAAAATTTCCATTAGAGTAACATGAATTAAGTGCCGGTAAATAATAAATATGTTATATTAACTTTATTAAATAAAAAATATATTTTATTAACTCCTTTCTTTTTCTTTTCTAAAGGTATATATACATTTTCTAAAATATAAATTAGAATATAAAACGAAATACAAAAAAGTAAAAATAATATATAAAAAAGTAAGGTTACGCCGTTTATAAAATAAAATTAGATTATAACAAAAATAAAATTTATATTGTAATAAAAATTATCATAATGCAACAATATATAAATGTCGAATCAAAGATTTATAAAAATCAATAACGTATTGATTTTTGATGGTATTGATTTTACAATTACATCGGGTCTGCAGGTCTCTGAATCATCACAAAAATATTAAATTATATGTATAATTTTTAGCAGGCCTCAAATTTATTTTATTTATTTTGGATAAATATTTCTGCACAACAATCATTAGTACAAGAACATTATTGTGGATTACTCAACACTAAGTGCGATTATTGCGATTCTCTAAATTTTTTATTGGAAAAACCCACAGATGGCAAATTTAAGAATTGCTGTCATAAGGGTAAAGTTAAGATACCATCAATCCGATATATTCCTTTTTTACAAGACCTTTTATCTAATCCTAACAATGAATTTCATTCAAACTTTATGAAATATATAAGATCTTATAATAGTTCACTTGCGTTCGCATCCATGGGAGCACAGATTTCTAATAGTTTAAACCCAGGCCCATATTGTTTTAGAGTTCATGGGCAAATTTATCACCGAACATCTCATTTATATTCTTCCACTGGGATGCCTCCTAAATTTGCACAACTATATGTCCTTGAGACCACCCAGGCTGTTAATGGCAGGTTACACATGAAAGAAAATTCTGGTTGCAATGAGGATCTCTTAAAAAGATTAGATATTTTAATAAGACAGAATAACCCATTTTCTATTAGTTTTAAAACCTTGGGAGAAATTGAGAAAGAATAAAAAAATAGGGCTATTCAAGAAAATCGTCCAGTTCAAAAAATCAATATGATTTTTCGTGCAGATCGCTCAAGTGACAAGCGAAGATATAACATTCCTAATATAGATGAAGTAGCTATGATTTTTACAAATGATGATGGTGAACCCCCATTTAAACGGGATATCAAGGTCTATCCTCGAGTTGATGGTAGTGATCTGATAAATATAAATATATTAAGCCCTAATCTTGATCCAATGGTATATCCTCTATTATTTCCTTTTGGTGACCCTGGTTGGAAACCAGATTTAAAGGGTGAAGATACAGGGCGTACAAGGGCAAATATCTCACTACTACAGTTTAAAATATTTAGATTAGCAATTCGTGAAAATGAATTCAACCCAATCCCTTTTGCTGGAAAATTATCACAACAATATTTTGTTGATTCCTATTTACAGGTCGAGGCGAATAATTTAAATTTTATTAGACAAAATCAGCCAAAATTACGAGTAGATGAATATTCTAGATTAATGGACTACTTGGAAACAAAGTCAAACAATATAATTCCCGGCAAAGCACTAATATTACCATCATCTTTTCAAGGTTCTCAAAGAAATATGCGAGAACGCTATCACGATGCAATGGCCATTGTGCTCAAATTTGGCAAACCTGATTTGTTTATTACTTTTACATGCAATCCTAATTGGCGTGAAATTAAGGAAAATCTATTTCCCGGGCAAAGTCCTACAGATAGACCAGATTTAATAGCCCGTGTTTTTAAATTGAAATTAAATGAATTATTGTTCGATATAAATAAAAAAAATTTATTTGGTAAATCTATGGCTTTTATATATACAATCGAGTTCCAAAAAAGAGGTTTGCCTAATGCCCATATACTTATTATTTTAAACGATGATAGCAAAATTGAAACATCTCAAGCTATAGATAAATTTGTTTGTGCCGAAATGCCAGATAAAATTCTCAATCCTAAACTTTTTCAGATTGTTACCCATTTTATGATACATGGTCCTTGCATGGAAAATGGCATATGTACCAAAAAATTTCCGAAGGATTTTCAAATGGAAACAAGACCAAATATTGATGGGTATCCATATTATAAAAGGCGAGATAATGGTATTACAATTCTTTCCGGTAAACCTACGGATAATCGTTATGTTATTCCATATAATCGATATCTAATGTTAAAATTCAATGCTCATATTAACGTGGAAATTTGTACATCTATTAAATCGGTAAAATATATCTTTAAGTATATTTATAAGGGCTATGACTGTACTAATGTTGACATTAATGTTGCTTCAAATATAAATATTCATGACGAAATTAAATCACATTTAAATGCGCGATATGTGAGTGCATGTGAATCAATGTGGAGATTATTAGAAAATAATATGCATGACCGCTCGCACGCTGTTATTCGCTTAGGAATTCATTTACCTTTACAACAGCCAGTATATTTCACTGCTGGACATGAAAGAGATGCTTTATTGAGATCAGAAAATAAACATACTACTTTAACGGCATGGTTTGAGTTAAATAAGACAGATCTAAATGCTAGACAATATCTTTATGGGGAAATACCTTATCATTATGTGTTTACAAATTACCATTGGAAACTAAGAAAAAAACGATTAAATGTAATTTCGAGAATGTATTCCGTTCATCCTAATTCTGGTGAACGATTCTTCCTTCGATTATTATTACTTCATGTTTGCGGGGCTACAAGTTTTGATTATTTAAAAACTATTAATGGAATTTTAATGACTACTTTTAAAGAGGCAGCTATTAAAAGAAATTTGTTATCAGATGATAAAGAGTGGGAATCATGCTTAGAAGAGGGATCAATATATCAAATGCCGTCACAACTTCGGAGTACTTTTGCCTTTATCTGCATTTTTTGTCAGCCTGAAAATCCTGCATATCTATGGAATAGGTTCAGATTTATGATGATTGAAGATTATTTGCGTCAATATTCAGAAGTAATTGCAATAAACATGGCTTTAATGGACATTGAAAACGTTTTTCTTGATCATGGTTTATGCTGTCAAAGTTTTGATCTTCCTTCACCTACAAAAATCCCCCCAAAACAACATTATGATGCCCATGTTGAAGCTGCCGATTCAATCGAGCGTATATCTAAATTAAACCGATTACAAAAATATGCTTTTGATTTAATTATACAAGCGATTGAATTAGAAAATATTCCAGAAAGATATTTCTTCGTGGATGGCCCTGGAGGTTCAGGTAAAACATATCTTTACAATACCTTAATGTGTTATATAAGAGCAAAAATCAAATTGTATTGCCTTTGCAACCACCGGCATATCCTCTATTCTAGGGGGGAAGAACCATCCATAGCGGATTTAAATTACCTGTGCCTATCTTTGAAACTTCTACATCCCATATGAATTTACATAGTTCGCTAGCTCTAGATATTAAAAATAGCAAATTGATTATTATTGATGAGGCCACAATGATGACTAAACACGCTTTGCGATGCATTGACCGATTACTTAAAGACATTATGAAAAATTCCCACCCATTTGGCGGAAAAGTAATTTTATTAGGTGGTGATTTTAGACAGACTTTACCAGTAGTGCCTAAAGGCTTCAAAATCGATATTATAGAGTCCTGTATAAAAAGTTCATATTTATGGAGTCATTTTAAAATAATACATTTGATTGATAATATGCGTATTTCATCAGATCAAGTTGATTACAAAGCTTGGTTACTTAAAATTGGAGATGTGCTATCACGCAGCAATTCTGATCTTCCTACAAATAGTTGAAATCCCACCTTATTTGCTTGAAAATGATTCATTAATAAAATGTGTGTATGGTAATTCTATAGAAATTGCTGATATAGATAGTCTTTCTACTAAAATAATATTAACCACCAAAAATAAAATTGCACTTACCCTCAACAACGATATCATTAATATAATTTCAGGCCCTATCAAACATTATTATAGTGCAGATTCCATTGAAAGCGATAATAAGGGTGATATAATGAATTTTCCACTAGAATTTTTGCATTCACAAACTCCATCCGGTATGCCACCTCACAAGCTAACACTTAAGGTTGGTACAATTGTTATGCTATTACGCAACTTGAGCCCAAAGTAAGGACTTTTTAATGGTACCCGTTTAATCATACGACATTTACATATTAATTTTATCGACGCTGAGGTATTGACAGGCACTAATAAGGGTTATCGAGTTTTTCTCCCACGAATAGATCTAGCTCCAAGTGACTCTCAGTTACCATTTACTTTAAAAAGACGACAGTTTCCTATAATTCCCGCTTTTGTGATTACAATAAATAAAAGTCAAGGACAAACTTTTGATCATGTAGGCTTATTCCTCCCTGAGCCCGTCTTTGCCCATGGACAACTATATGTGGCTCTTACTAGATGTAAATCTAAAAATAATATGAAAATTATGATTTTGCCATCAGAATTACAAGGAAAAATTTTAAAAAATGATAAAACATTCACACAAAATATCGTATATAATGAAATCTTAAATTCATAATTTGTAAGAAATTTAAAAAAGTCACCAACTTTGTTATTCACCATCAAATCACCAACTCTACATCATCTTCAAAAACTAAACCACCTTGAGCAAAGAAAAGAGAACTTCTTCACCATCGCTAAACCATCTTCCTCACCAAAAACAGTATATTCTATTTTATAATTTCAATTTACACGTTTTATTTCAGGTTATTTACAGCAAACTACGAGCAAGAAAATCACAACATCATCTTCAAAAACGAAACCACCTTGAGCAAAGAAAAGAGAACTTCTTCACCATCGCTAAACCATCTTCCTCACCAACAACAGTATATTCTATTTTATAATTTCAATTTACACGTTTTATTTCAGGTTATTTACGGCAAACTACGAACAAGGAAATCACAACATTATCTTCAAAAACGAAACCACCTTGAGCAAAGAAAAGAGAAGTTCTTCACCATCGCTACCAACAACAGTATATTCTATTTTATTTCAATTTACACGTTTTATTTCAGGTTATTTATAGCAAACTAGGAGCAAGAAAATTACAACATCATCTTCAAAAACGAAACTACATTGAGCAAAAAAAAGAGAACTTCTTCACCATCGCTAAACCATCTTCCTCACCAACAACAGTATATTCTATTTTATAATTTCAATTTACACGTTTTATTTCAGGTGAGCAAGGAAATCACAACATCATCTTCAAAAACGAAACCACCTTGAGCAAAGAAAAGAGAACTTCTTCACCATCGCTAAACCATCTTCCTCACCAACAACAGTATATTCTATTTTATAATTTCAATTTACACGTTTTATTTCAGGTTATTTACGGCAAACTACGAACAAGGAAATCACAACATCATCTTCAAAAACGAAACCATCTTGAGCAAAGAAAAGAGAACTTCTTCACCATCGCTACCAACAACAGTAAATTCTATTTTATAATTTCAATTTACACGTTTTTTTCAGGTTATTTACAGCAAACTACGAGCAAGGAAATTACAACATCATCTTCAAAAACGAAACCAACTTGAGTAAAGAAAAGAGAACTTCTTCACCATCGCTAAACCATCTTCCTCACCAACAACAGTATATTCTATTTTATAATTTCAATTTACACGTTTTATTTCAGGTTATTTACGGCAAACTACGAGCAAGGAAATCACAACATCATCTTCAAAAACGAAACCACCTTGAGCAAAGAAAAGAGAACTTCTTCACCATCGCTAAACCATCTTCCTCACCAACAACAGTATATTCTATTTTATAATTTCAATTTACACGTTTTATTTCAGGTTATTTACGGCAAACTACGAACAAGGAAATCACAACATTATCTTCAAAAACGAAACCACCTTGAGCAAAGAAAAGAGAACTTCTTCACCATCGCTACCAACAACAGTATATTCTATTTTATTTTAATTTACACGTTTTATTTCAGGTTATTTACAGCAAACTAGGAGCAAGAAAATTACAACATCATCTTCAAAAACGAAACTACATTGAGCAAAAAAAAGAGAACTTCTTCACCATCGCTAAACCATCTTCCTCACCAACAACAGTATATTCTATTTTATAATTTCAATTTACACGTTTTATTTCAGGTTATTTACGGCAAACTACGAGCAAGGAAATCACAACATCATCTTCAAAAACGAAACCACCTTGAGCAAAGAAAAGAGAACTTCTTCACCATCGCTAAACCATCTTCCTCACCAACAACAGAATATTCTATTTTATAATTTCAATTTACACGTTTTATTTCAGGTTATTTACGGCAAACTACGAGCAAGGAAATCACAACATCATCTTCAAAAACGAAAACATCTTGAGCAAAGAAAAGAGAACTTCTTCACCATCGCTACCAACAACAGTAAATTCTATTTTATAATTTCAATTTACATGTTTTTTTTCAGGTTATTTACGGCAAACTACGAGCAAGGAAATTACAACATCATCTTCAAAAACGAAACCAACTTGAGCAAAGAAAAGAGAACTTCTTCACCATCGCTAAACCATCTTCCTCACCAACAACAGTATATTCTATTTAATTTCAATTTACACGTTTTATTTCAGGTTATTTACGGCAAACTACGAGCAAGGAAATCACAACATCATCTTCAAAAACGAAACCACCTTGAGCAAAGAAAAGAGAACTTCTTCACCATCGCTAAACCATCTTCCTCACCAACAACAGTATATTCTATTTTTTAATTTCAATTTACACGTTTTATTTCAGGTTATTTACGGCAAACTACGAACAAGGAAATCACAACATCATCTTCAAAAACGAAACCACCTTGAGCAAAGAAAAGAGAACTTCTTCACCATCGCTAAACTATCTTCCTCACCAACAACAGTATATTCTATTTAATTACAATTTACACGTTTTATTTCAGGTTATTTACGACAAACTACGAGCAAGGAAATCACAACATCATCTTTAAAAACGAAACCACCTTGAGCAAAGAAAAGAGATTGAAATCTCCTTTTTTAGGTAAAATTTTCTATATTATAAAATTGATTATATTATATTTTTTATATGGCTACAAATGCATATGTGTTGTAACCCGATAATCAGCAACTCTTGAAGTATAAATATTTATTATATTTTCTTATAATTCATATCTTTGTCTCTTTTTTTTTCTATTTCTTCCTTCTTATTTTCATTCTTTTTTTCATTTCTTTGCTCCCCTAAAATCCATCTCCTACCTTCACGCGGTGGGGAGTGAACAGTAATTCTGACTAACAGGAGCTCTGGTAAATAATGTTAGTATTTAGGGTGCTAATAAGAGATATTGTTTCATTTTTGTAATTTAAAATATAAATTTCGAAATCACATCTAATAAAAAGGAATATGTCTGATTCATCCATCATCAAATAAAGGTAAAATATATTATTCATCAATCATTGAATAAAAAAGACAATTCCTCTCTCTTAGTCTTAATGGGTTGGAATTGGCCTGAAGGAGGTGGGGGAGGGGTAAAAAGAATTATCGTAAAAGAACGAATAAAATTCTCATCCCCGTCATTTTTGACGGGTTATCAACTAGTTCAATAATAAATATCAAATTATAGTAATATAATGTACAGAAATTATAGTATCAAAAGGAAGCAATTTCAATATTTTTCCAAATATTTATATCATTAATGGGGTTAGCAATTTAATTAAGGTATGATGTAGCCTATTAAAATATATTAATTTTATATACAAATATAAAATAATACTGTTCCCAGATATCAATTTTCAGATTCCTAAAATAAAAATATATTTTATATTTTTGTCTTTTAATATTTTACATTTGTCTGTGTCAATTTAAACTTGACCCAGAATATTTGGTAATATCATCAATATTTTCCTTTAACCATAAAATTATTTCCTGACACTAAAAAATACATTAATATAAAAGGCTATAATTGTTTGGGTTAGTAAATTTATAAAAATTATCAGCATTAAAAATTATACTTACTAATATTTTTATAAAAATTTCATAAATAAATAAATCTAAAATTTTTATTCAAATTAATTTTTTTTATTTATTTTTTTAAAAAAAATCAATTTTTGTAAATACCGAAAAATGAAATAGGACACTATTTTATTTTTACATAAAAAAAGCTTATGAATTTATAAATATTAAATAGTCAATAAAGATTAATGCAACCCAGATATCTATTTCCAGTAAGAATCAAGATTTAACTAATAAACTCAATGATTTATTTGTTTAATCGTTCCACAGTTTTTAATGCAGTAAAAACTTTAAATTTTATTTCTTCTCAAATCTTTCGTAGATAAAACTTATATATATCTCCATAATTTCATTTATTTTGGTTCAGTAGTATTTAAAATATTAGACTAACTTTGGTGTGTCAAACACCACAGGAATGTTTGTTTAAGTTTTTTTAAAACATAAAAGTAGAATTTTTTAAAGTAAAATTATAAAAAATGCTAGCATTACTGAAATTTATCATTTAATAAAAACTATTACAAATTTTAAAAAAATATCAGAAGTTTAATGTAAGTTTGCAGATTAATTTACTATCAGTTATTTCAGATAAAAAAAATAATTTAACAAGTTTTTAAAAATGATATTTTTTTATCAACTTATTTGAAGAATAATTTTACACGAAAGCTTTTATCAAAGTGTTGCAATGTTTTGCAACAAATCATGCACCCACTGTATATTTATTATGTATTTTCATCATGAAGGGTGGGCCTTCACGTTTGCTTGGGTAGGTCTATGACCAACGTGTTAGATAAGATAAGAATTAAAGTTAACATTAATTATAAGGTTTAATATAATATAAATTTTTTATATATCATCTAATCTATAGGCGTAGCCAGGATTTTCCTAAGGAGGGGAATTAAAAAAATTACTGGGGCTTCGCCCCCAGATCCCATTAGTGGGCCTTCGGCCTGCTTTTGCCCGGCTTTCGGCTGGGTTACCTTAGTCCATATATAGTCATAAAATTTTTTAAGGTTAATTTTAATAAAAAAAAAATAAGCCTGGAACAAATATGAAATATATTTTTATTAGTTTATGTAAAATATAATAAATTACTTGTATATATCTTAATATAAAGGATGGTAATAATTTATTCTAAGCAAGTATAAGAAATTTATTTATAAAATGTAAGTAGACATATAGTTGATATTCCTCTTATATAGAATTAGTTACAAAATACTAGGTAAAATATGACTTTTACAGACATATTTGACAATTAGAGAATATATTACAGTTAATATTTTAATAAATTTTAATCATGCTCTTGATAATAAATATAGCAACCAGCGTCTACATGAGCGGGGGGGGGGGTAGGAACAGTTTGCATCCAAATATCCTAAAAGGGGGTAGGGGGTAGGCATCAGTTGGGGGGTAGGGTAAAAATATTTAGAATGTTATCTACTACATTTTTGAATTATATGTGAATAAAGTTTGCTTTAATTATTTATAATATAATAATAGATCTATTATAATAGAGATAGATTACTAAACATCAACGTTACAATCATAATATATTTGTTCATTCATTAAAATAGTAAATCAGCTGGACTCGCCATTTTGTCAACATTTAGGATAATTATTTTCATATTTACGAATTTCTTGAAATTAAAACAACAAAAATATATAATACAATTTTATGATCCAAATTGATGTTATTTCAAAATATGTTATTTTAAAAAGATATTTCAATATTTGAAAATATTTGCCATCCATATTTTCCTAAAAAGTATATTAATAATTTATGAATTATAATTGCCTTTTCTTCTTTTATGGAATTTATAAATAATAATAAAAATCTTTTCATGGGTAGATTTTAATCATATTACACCATTTTTAAAACATCTATTTTATTATTAATATATTATTACATCATTAAATTATAGATATTTTTATTAAATCATCTTTTTAAAATGGATATAAATTTTTTAAATCAGATGCCAAGCAATAAGATAAATTACAAGGTAAAATGCTTGCATACAGGCTGCAACTCTAATAAGATTAGAAAAGACAAAATTATTTTACATTACAAAACAAGACATCCTAATAGTGATGTAAAGTTTGAGGTAATAGCAATTAAAAAAGATAAGGTTTGGAACAAACTTGGTCCAAATGCAAATAATCTCAAAATAACTAATGGAATCAATACTCAATTTAAAAAAAATAAATCAATTGCAACATATTTTCAAAAGGTTAAACTATTTTTTGATTTTTATACATGCTTTTTATATCATATTTAAGTGATCAATATATAATTTTAAACACTTTTAAGGAAATTGACTCTCCATTAGATACTCTTAAGATAAATCTACCACAACCATTACATAATATTATCACACTAAATCAAGATGAAGAAGTTTTTTTAAGTATTTATACTATAATTTATTCATTTGATCTAAAGAAAACTTATAATATGGAGACTGCATTCATTTTTAAGGACAAAGTAGTAAATATTTCAAAATATTAAAAATGACCATTTTTTATATTTAAAATTTAGCAATCTCATTTAGATGCTCCCTATCCAGAAATTATTCCATTCATAGATGATGAAACATCGGTATTATAATTTTTAAAAAAAAAATTTTTTTAAAGAATCTGACAAAGCATTTACAATTTAATAAATTAATATTCTCTTTTCAAAATATAGAAAATCGAAAATATGCCTAGAAGTTCTAATTTAGACAACCCAGAAAAAATATCTGGAAATTTATCAACAATTAAAGAAGTTTATAATTTAAATATTATTTAATATTGTCTTTAAAGGGTAAAAATGATGATATTGATATGCAAGCATTAGAATCAATTTATATAGATAAAGTAATAACCTTAAGCTATCTATACATTTTAAATTATACAGTTACCAAACAAAGCTAAAATAACTCCTTTATCATATGAAGATAATGAAGAAAATATTATTTCTTTATATAGGGAAAAGAATCCTAATGATCCCTTTCATTTTTTTAGATTTAGAATGACAAAAAATATGATTGATTTTATAATTCAATTTGGTCCACTACAACCAAGTTCCAATGAATTTATTTATCCAAAAACTCATAACAGGTTGGTTTAATAAATTATTGCTGCAATATTACTTATATATTATTAATTATATAAGAATTATATATTCATATATTGCTTTTAATGTAGGAGCATGAAAGATGCCTATTATAAAAAAATAAATTATGACAAATCATTTTCTCAAAGAAAATGGCTATCATATAGCTCTATTTTGGATAAAGTATTCTGTATCTTCTGTATTATGTTTGGAAGTCATCAAGCAAGCATGCAATGGACTCATAAAGGTGCAGATAGCTGGAATAATTTAGTCCAGGATATGGAGAGACATGAAACATCCCCTGTTCATGCAGATTGTGAATATGCACATATGGCATGGATTTCTCGGGGGTGTATTGATGACCACATTTTATTCAACCGAGAGGAAATTATAACCCAAAATCGTTATATTATCCATAATATAATTGATGCTATTGTGTATTTAATACGGGGCAATATTGCTTTTTGGGGAAGCAATTCTCATGATGGTAATTTTTCAAGACTTATAACTTTGATCTCAAAGAATGTTCCAGTATTAAGAGCATATCTAGAGAAAAATAGTAGTTTACGAGGAAAAAGTGGTAATAAAATATTAAGGCCACAAATAAACTTCATATCCTATGGCCATGTTAAAAAATTGGCTGAGATAATAAAAATAAAAATATTGAATGAAATAATTAAACAAATTATTTCAAATTGTGCCTTTAGCTTAATATTAGATGGTACATATGATATTTCAAAAAAGGAATGTGTTGCCTTAATTATAAGGTATATACAAGAATATCCACACCCACACCCAGTAGAAAGAATTATTAATATTTTTACAACTTCTGACACAACAGGAGAAAATATTAAAAATAATGTTTTAACTAAATTAAAGGCATTACATCTTCCACTAGAATACCTGATTGGGCAAAGTATGGATGGTGCTAGTAATATGAGAGGTGTTAATAAGGGAGTACAGGCTTTAATATTTAAAGAAGCTCCTAAAGCTATTTATGTCTGGTGCCATGCTCATAGGCTTAATTTAATTGTTATTCGTATATGTGGATATGGGAATGAAATTAAAAAAACTATGGGAATTTTAGATGAATTATATAATTTTATGAATGGAGTTAAACGCCAGGGTGTTTTTACCAAATTTCAAATGCAAAAAACCAAAAAATCTCTCAAAAGAATAAAAAACACAACAAGGTAAATAAATATAATTTTTTAAAGAATTTTATTTATTTTCAGAAATTGGGCATCATCTTTCAAAGCATTACAAAATTTTTTAGATGTTTATGAATATATAATAGCCTCCTTGACAGAGTTAAGCAATTCCGATGACGCAATCACATTTTCAATTTCTGAGGGATTGCTATCTAGAATAAAACGATATGATTTTATTTTAGGATTATTTATTTTAAGAATAATCTTAAAATGTACACATGAAACTTGCATTGAAATGCAGGCAATTGGAAATGATTTAGCAATGATGATTAAATTGATCCAACATACAAAAAATAAATTCCAAAGATTAAGGGGTAAATTATTATTCATGTATTTTAATTACATTTTCTAATTAAGCAAATGGTGATAATATATTAACATCATTACATACCGATGTTAAATCATTTATGGATAAGAATAATGTTACAACCGATATTTATAATATTAAGTCAATATTTAAATTGGATCAAAAAGAGTTTGATAATTATATTGAACAACAAAAAGAAAAGTTTATGAAAAGTATATTTTAAAATAATATATATTTTTTTAGATATAAAAATGAAAATTTTTACCCAGTGATTAATATGATCATTGAACAATTAAATGAAAGATTTAATTATGAATCATTAAACTTTTTAAATCAGATTTCTATTTTTACTCCTGCGGGATTAGCAGATAATGAGAATATAGAAATTTCCCAGATATCTGAAATTGTGTGTTTATATAATTTTGATCCACAGAAAATTATAGATGAATTTTCCAATTTTAGACCATTATACTTAGATTCCTTATCAATCATTTATAGTAAAGATTTAATCAATATTAGAAAAAATGATACCTTATATGATGAAAGTTATTAATTTTATTAACAACTTAATTTTAATATATGTTTACAGGTGAAAACATTATAAATGATAGTAAAATGACCGAAACAAAAAGATGGCTGAAATATTCATTTATTCTACCATATAGATTATTAATTAAATCAAGTTCTTTTCCTTATCTTAAAACGTTATATAAATATCTTATAACCCTCCCCACCACCTCATGCTCTGCTGAAAGAGCTATGAGTAAAGTCAAAATTGTTAAAACACGTATTCGAAATAAAATCTCTGATTCTTTTTTAGAAAATTTATTATTAATATCAAGTGAAATTGATATATATGATACATTTAAAACAGAAGATATTATTACAGATTTCGCGTTAACTTCTAAAAGACTATCTAATCTTTTAATTGGATAATCCTTTTTTTTTAAATATTAAACAGCAATAAATTTAGACATTTGGCATTATAATTCCCTTTTTTCAATATTTGAATAAATTTGGATTACTAATCCCTTATTAGTTAGTCATTTTTAATTAGTCTTTTTCTGCACATATATTTATATTCCTTGTGTTATATCTTTAACATTAAAAAAAATTATTATGTAGCAATTATAATATCCATTTTTTTTAAATATTAAATAGCAATAAATTTAGACATTTTGCATTATAATTCCCTTTTTTATTTGAATAAATTTGGATTACTAGTATTAGTTAGTTATTTATAATTAGTCTTTTTCTGCACACATATTTATATTCCTTATGTTATATATATTTTTAACATTAAAAAAATTATAAATAAAATAAAATTATTATGTGGAAATTAAAATATATAATTTTTTAAATTTCGATAATTTTTATACCAATAAATATTCTTCCTGTAATCTATATATCATTATTTCATAAAATATTCAGACTTATATTTATAAGATTATAATTTATTCTATCGAAATAATGCCGCCGAAGGCGGCAAATTTTTTTAGGGGGGTAGGCTGAGGTTTTTGAGGGGGGTTTACATCCAGTGAAAATCCTGTCATGTAGACGCTGATAGCAACAATTAGCATTTAATTATTTAACGCCATCAATTTATTTTAAATAAAATATGATATTAAAAATTAATCTTCATATTATTCTATTCAACCACAATGTCTTTAAAAGATATTTTTTGATGTCCTTATCAATATTTTATAATTTTCTGTAAAATATATAATACGCTATATTGGTAAAAATTACTTGATTGTCATATGATAAAATTAGATATACTGTTAATCTACGACATATTAGTTTTATAAAAAAATATCAAATTTTATATTCTTTCTTTCAAATTATTGTTTAAGATATATGCATATATTTTATGGGTTCGGGTCAATGACATATAATAATACCTAGACTGACGATTCATTCATTAAAATGCCTTTTTAAGCACGTATAAATGCAAATCAGCTGGAGACGCCATAAACACCATATTTGTTACATCGATGATAATTTGCTCAATAGCATATTTGAATTTGTTAAGTAAATATTTTAATCAATATACTATGGTTATATTAATATGAATTATTTTCCCATAGTTAGTTTTTATTACCATGATTTGTTAAATTTTATATTTAATTTTATTAATCAAACATTTTATTTTATCAAAAGCATTATTTTTATTTTCTAAATTATTGCCATAATATAGTCATATATTATAAAATAAGTTTAAGCTTTTTGCTTAATAATGTGCAGGTAAGCATCAGCAATTTTTATTCAAGTTAGCATATTATTTACTGTGTGCAATTATATACCTATAGATAAGATTATATAAGAATATTCATATTATAAGTCAATCTAGGGCTTAGGTAAGTATCAATTTTATAACTCAAGATTTAGAAATTGTTTTATTTTGAAGGTTGTTTTTAAAAATATATACAAATTGTATAATGCTTAGCCCAAAAGTTATAAAAATTTTAATCTGATTTTTGTTAATTAACTATATTATTTTTAAATTTAGTATTCTATTTACATAGCTCTTAAAATAGAAATAAATGTACATATTGTAATATATTTTTATACAGTATAAATAAGAATATTAGCTCTAAATTTTCAAATATCTAAAAATGTCCAGGCTGACATAAAAATTTTATGAAATGGTTACCCAAGTTTATAATTTTATATTAAATAAGGAATAAAATTATATAAAAATATAAAATAAAATTATATTATATTTTTTTTGATAATTATCATTCATCATATCATATAATAATAGTTTATTTATATCTATTATTTTTATTTTTTTATTTAACATTATATAAGAAAATAAATATAACTATAAAAAAATAATAATATATTTATACTTTATCTATCTGTCTAGTCTACCCATATATATTTATCTAATTGGCCAGCCCTACATTTATTTGATAAAATTACATCTAAAATTATCCTTAATTGTCTATATCTTCAATTAATAATTATCGTTTTTTATTTAAAGATAGATTGATATGAGTCACTGTACTTCATGCAAGAATACAAGCTTAACTTCTAATAAAAAAATTTCTTTTCATAGGTTATATATTTTAATTTATTATTTTTAAGATTCTTTTCTTAATTTAAGACATTAATATTATTTTTTTTAAGATTTCCTATCATGAATGAAATTTTATTATCAAAATGGCTAAAGGCAATGAATAAGGAAAATTTCACTCCTAATAAGTTTTCAAAGCTTTGTGGAGCCCATTTCAAACCTGAATGTTTTATGCCCTCACATTCAGGGAATGCTATTCTAAAGGAAGGATCTGTACCATCCATTTTTAATTCCAGACCCCTTCAGGATATATAAATATTGAATATATATTTATTTTAAATATTATATTTTTTTAAGATAACAAATATTCCATCGAATACAAATAATACTCCTACAAATTTTAACTATATAGAAAAAAATGATCATACTTATGCTACTAATATTTACTCTTTAGCTAAAAAGGTAAAATATTATTACTTTATAAAAGATCAATAAAAATTTTATTATTAATATTTAAGAAAAAATTAGAAATACCTATTAATAATCTAGAAGTGGAAGGCTTGGAAGAGCCTGTTAAAGATAATAGCCCAGTGAGCCATATTTATTAAATTACTATATACATCAGTGATATGTTTTGATTTTATGGATAGCAATATATTTTTTTTATTATACAAATAATATTTTATTTAAGAAAACATCTACCAGTTATCCAAAAGTGTATGTTATATTGGATGTATGCCATATGATGAAGCTACTTAGAAATCTGCTCGGTGATAAAAAATTTTTAATCAATAATAATAATGGAGCTGTAATTACTTTTAAAATATTTCCTAAATGTTATTTTTACAAATAGATAATAAATTGGAAATATATAAAAAATCTTCACAATTTACAGGATAAGGAAGGACTAAGGGCTGCTAATAAGAAGTTGACGAAATTCGCAGGACAATAAATATATTGGCACATGATCTTTTTTAATTTATATTATGACTGTATATATTTAAATATGGATGCTATATATTAATGAATTTTGTAATTTATCGTACATTATATCTATTTTCTAATTTATAATAAAATATGGATGCTATATTAATGAATTTCGTAATTTATGGTACATTATATCTATTTTCTAATTTATAATAAACTATTTCTTGTAATGATACAACATTTAATCTTATTAGAGGCTTTAGTATCTTGAAAAATTATTGATTTTCATCATATAATTAATATGTCCATTCTTCCAAAAATAAAGATAAGAGTAAGCTAAATTGATTTAAAATTAAGGTCATTTTTTATAAATGAGGTCTTAAAATATTTTATTTTTATTAATCTTTATTTTATCTGTTTGAAAAAAAAATATATTAATGATAATTGTTTTATTGATAAAATAAACTGGATAATATAATGTAAGGAAGAACAAGTTGTATGCGATATATCTCTTGTTTGCAATATAGAATTTATCCTAAGAAATATAGTAAATCAATAATAAATATAATAAACATAAAAAATTGAATATTACAAAAGGAATGATAAAAACTTATTAAAAATAATTAATAAAATAAAACTAATTGGAAAAAATAAATACCAAGAGATCAAGATTTTACATGGGTAAGGATATCCTAATAAAAGTAAAAATGGTTTAAATTTTCTCCATAACTGCGATATGGTTGCTAAATGTTAAATAGTTAATAAGATTCAATTTACCTCCTTAAAATATTAAATTCATAAGTATTTCATTTCTTTAATCATAATAAATATTATGAATAATATAAAAATCATTTTGAATTGGACTTTAAGAAGATTAAACAAAATACTATAATACTTTAATAAATACCACATATTTATTTATATGTAAAAAAATGTTATATTATTAAGAATGTATCTAAAGCTAAGCATTTATTTTTATATTATTGTAAAATCATAATTTATCCAGAAAGGGGGATATGTTTTTTATTTTAGTATAAGATGAGAATCAATGAAAGTATTTTAATTGATATTCATTATATTTTTTTATATTATAAATTTTATCATCGATGTAACCAACATGGCGTCAATGGCGTCTCCAGCTGATTTGCATTCATACGTTCTTTAATGAATGAATCGTCAGTCTAGGTATTATTATATATAATTGGGTCCGCTTTATATACTCTTAAAAATATCAAAAAGACAAATAAGCTAAAATGGCTGTCAAAATGGCCCCTATAAGTTTGAAGCGAGAGTTCAAATATATTTGTGGCCATTTTAGGTCATTTGACGTTTTTTCATAAATGTTCATACGATCTGGCGGACCCTAACCAAAATTTATAATGATATTAATTTAATATTAAATACTTAAATAGAAAAAACTATCGGTTAGGGTCCGCCAGATCGTATGAACATTTATGAAAAAACGTCAAATGACCTAAAATGACCACAAATATATTTGAAGCGATTTTACGTGATACGTGATAAAAGCGTTTTCGCCCTCTGGTTGTGGATACAACAGAGCTACGCTAGGTTTTCCTCAAAAATCCATCAAACTGGATAGTTAATTTAGGGGAGAAAAAATGAGGAGCCCTTCACACGTTTATGGGCAAGCCGCACGTACTTGTATGCGCAACAGTCCGAGAACTGTCGCTTAAACGTCTATAGGCTAATCAACAAAAGAAATGGGCAAAACAAAAGCCTATACCCATGAACTGCCAAAATAATTTAATTACTTTAAGGGTGGGTGGTGGCTAATTTTAAGTTTAACATCTAATGTAAGCCTTGATAGTTACTAACAAATAATTGAGAATGTGTTCATATCAATTGAGATTAGAATTTATTCATGAAAATAAGGAAAAGCTAAAATGGGTTTACCACAAATTGTTTAAAATAGGTGAAAATTCCAGTGAATAGGCAAAAACTAGTCAGTAATCGGTTTATGACTATCCAGCAACGAACACCACACAACAAACGGTTATTTTTTCCTTTTTCCAGAGAAACAAAATACTCTATGGAGTGATAGATAGATTATATAGCGAAAAAGGTCTTTGATAATGATAAAGATATGAGAGAAAGGAAACTATGACGCAGAAATAGGAACCAGCTCCGTAAGTTTTAGGAAATGGAAAAGTAATTGTTGGCCAGGATTAACAAAAGGCATTTTGGCTTGATTGTTATATGATAGTCTATCACTCACGGAAAGACTCTACCAACAAAACATATTTACAAACCTCGCCACCCCCCGGTCGACTGGTTTCTCCATAAATGAAATAACAAAAGGCTAAGGAAAAAAAACACTAAGAAAAAGCAAAGCTCCAGGGCCAGATAATATCACAGCAGAAAAACCAAAAAAAATAAATAGCATCTATAACAATATCGCTACCTATTTGCCCTCATTTAATAGAAATATGGGAGAGCGGAAACTAACTGCAGTGGGATGGATCAAAATCCTACCTAAGTAACTACCCAAAAAACTAAGACCACAGAAATTTAAGGCTTATTGAGCTATAGCCATCACATCCTATAGCATGGAAAAAAAAACATATCACCCACACCAAAATACATAAGTATATACAGGCCAAGAAAAGAAAATACTGGATCCAAAAATTAATTTAGAAAAATAATCATGCAGAAAAACTAAGTACAAAACCCCCTTCTGCTTTACATTTGTGAATTATAACAGAGCTATTGATAATGTTAACCATGCAGTTTTTTCAGAAAATAAGATAAATAAAAGCTGAAGTCAGTGAAGTAAGTAATTCACAGAAAAGGTGAAAGACAAAATCAAGAGGTAAAATTGAGAGATGAAGAAATTAAATAACCTGAAAAATAACAGAAAAAAATTATGAGAGGTTTAGGTAGTTCGATTTAATTTTTAATAGTTTTTTTATAGATTTTTTGTTTTTATTTAGCCTTAGGAATTGCTTCAAATTTAAGTTAAGATCCATTATGTCCTTCAAGGCTCTGTAGAACCATAATGTCTTATATTTGCAATATGTTTTCCCATTAAAGGAGTATAACCAATTAATGGCATCAATAACAAGGCTATTGTTGCTATGATTTCTTAAAATATGGGCAAAGAAAGTAAGACGTTTCTTTTTTAAAGACACGTGAACCTGGGTATGGTTAGACTTCTTCCAAAGATTTTCATTTGAGATAATATTAGGGTAGAAGATTCCATTTATTATTCTAAGGCATTTATTTACAAACGTTTGTAATTTCCTAGTTTCGGTCTTGGTAATCTCCCATGTATCACCGCCATAAAAGAGAATCGGGATGATGGTTGAGTTGAAAATACAGAGTCTTGTGAAAACGGATATCTCTCTAGCTTTCCACAGTTTAAAAAATTTATAAAAAGCCGCCCTAGCATTTTGTAAACGAATTTTTAGTTCTTCTTTACAACTACCCTTATTGTCAATGGTTACACCTAGATATTTAAAAGATTCTACCACCTTAACCAACTTTCCCCCCACCACCAAATTATTCAAAAGAGGCGCCTGGGACGAGGGCATTATCACTGTTTTATCAAAGTTAATATCCAAGCCAACCTTAAGACTAAAGGAGTTTAATATAGCGATCAAATTTTGGGTTTCTTCCAAACTTTTTGTTATCAAAACTATGTCGTCAGCATAAGATATCACCCTATTTTCCAAGAAAAAAGACTGACTGGAACTTAATTCTAAGAGATTCGCAGTAGCCAGCGTATCTACTATGATTTTATTCATAAGTATATTAAACAAAAGCGGGGAAAGAACACATCCTTGTTTTACCCCTTTTTTTGTCCTAAAAGATGGAGAAATCTTATTATTGATTTTTAAGGAGGCAAAAAGACTACTATAATGTGTTTTAAGGATCCTTATAATATTAGAGTCAATGCCACATTCGGTTAAAATCTTCCAAAGCGCATCATGGTTAACATTATCAAAAGCACGTTTAAAGTCGATAAAAATAAAGTAAAAAGGTAATTTATACTTCTGACATTTCTGCATTATAATCTTTAAAGCTAATATTGGTTCGTTTATATTTCTACCTGGACGGTAAGCACAAATGTATTTAGACAAAAGGTTTGGTGTAGAGGAAAGAATGCGATTTTTTAAAAGAACCATAAAAACTTTTAATGCAATAGACGTGAGAGCGATGGCTCTATAATCCTTGAATTTAGATGGATTTAGAATTTTCGGGAAGTTGCAAAAGATAGTCTTATTCCAATCCGCTGGCATCATCCCAGTCAACTATATCTTGTAACAAAGGAAGTAAGAACCGAGAGATCGTTAAGGGAGCTGCTTTCAGATGTTCTCCTGTAATGTTATCTGTACCCGGAGATTTATTATTCCTAAGCTTCTTAATAGCGGCCACAATTTCAGCCAATGAAAAGTTTGCGTCCAATTGTCCAACATTTCGACTAGTGGATGGGATTAAGGTAGGCCTCCTAGAATCAAAGACTCCCATATAGTGGTCAAGCCATAACGCTATCTGTTCGTCGGGGTCAGTAATTAACCTATTATTATCCAGTCTTATAGTTGGAAGTGTCTTGAAGATTTTGGCTTTACAAAAATAGTTTAGTTTCTTGTAGGCGTCGAAAGTTCTATTTTCCCTCATATCCCTGTCTATCTCAAAAGCCTTTTTAGCAATATAGATCCTTCTATCTCTCCTTAGGAGTCTATGAATTGAGGTCCATAAGTGACCATCACGCTCACCTCGTAACTTGAGTTGAGCTATCATGCGAATGGTGTCATCGGATAGCCATTCCTGTCTTGGTGGAGAAATGTTGATGTTAGGGAAATGATTGTAGGCATCAAACAAGTTGTTTTTGAAAGACGCCCAACATTCTTCGACAGATTGAGACTCCGACGAGGATAAGAAAGTTGCCTCCCTATCATTTAAGAATAGATCGAGCTGTAGTTTGACTGCAGGGCGTTGCAGGTGTGTTGCATTTCTCTTCCAGGACAGGTATCTCGGCTGGGGTTGAAGAGACGGACGCCGAGAGTTTCCCCATAAATTTTTCACAGTAATACTGGCTCTGATTAATTTATGATCAGAAATATTTATATTTGGCATTACTTTTACATCGATAAACCAGCTATGGATGTTCGAGATGATAAAATCTGTCTGAGACTTGATATTATTTCTACTGAAGGTTAGGGTGTTTAATTCGCTGTGTGAAAAGAAAGTATTTTCGACCTTGAGGTTTATACTCCTGCACATCTCCAATAACTTTCTGCTGTCATCACTGTTTAATTGAGAGAGAGTTGCATTCCCAATTACCCCATCTCTAATAAAGGAGTCATCTTTTCCGATCCTAGTATTTAAATCCCCAAGGATTATCAAATTACGACTCCTAGGAAGAGAGTTTACAATGTTTTCGAGGTCATCAAGGAATGCGAGCCGTTCGTTTCTTCTAGGCGGGGCATAGACATTAACTAAGATTGTTTGCCTGAAGCAGGTATTCAGGTATAGTAAACAGCATCTCTCCGAAATGGGCACAAATTTATCCACGTATTTGCATAATCTTTTGCTGATAAAGAAAGCAACCCCCGACCAATTATTGGAAGTGGTGCCAGAACTATACATTTCAAAGTTATTAAAGGTAGCCATATTATTATCTTTTGAGTGGGTCTCCTGTATCGCGATCACATCCATTTTTTCGTCGACCATGAGCCTTAGAAAAATTTTAATATTTGTATAATTTTGAAATGATGTAACAGATTAGACAAATAAATTAAAATATACTTTTTATTTTAAATAAAATTAAATATAAATGTAAATTGCTAAATGGTAATTAATATAGATTATATACAATTAATATTATAATAATTGTATATAAAATATATGATCATATTTTATATTAATAATAGAAAAGAATATATTAAAAAATTTAATTAATTAAGATAATATATTATAAATTGCAGATAATTTACAATATTTTAGAAAACTCTTCTAGATCTATTAATATATAACAGACAGCATGATTATACTATAAATATATCTTTAAATCAGTGACGAAGCAAAATAAAAAAATGCTTATTTTTTTTCCTTACTTAATTAATGTTTAATAATTGTAATTATGTTATTGAAAATTTATTATGATTATCAGAGTTGTATAAAAAGTATATGCATCTATATACTATTTCAAAGGTATCTGTTAGATACTTTTTAAGATACATTTTGATATACTTTTATTTAACGCCTTTTTATCTAAAAAATAAAAATATTTAGATGCAAATTTTATGTTATATGTATGAGCATATAATTTAAATTAATATATATTATAAAAATATTAAGACTAATATAATAAAAAAATATATATATAATATTAAAACTCATATATAGAAATTTTTTTCCCATTATCTATAGATATCAGTTCAAGATTGTGAAGGATATTCTTATCATGCAAAGGAATTTATAAATCCTTGCTTAGACATGACGCCTATTAATTATAAACAATACCCAGAGTTGGGCAGGTCATCCGGAAAAAGAATCTAGATACAGATTCTTTGTGAAAAAATGAATCTTAGATATAGATACTAATATCTTTTTCAAAATATCAAAAAGATACAAGATAAAAGATACTTGTATCTTTTATACTTCTAAATTATCATTACCAATTAAATTAGAATAGTTTGTAAAATACAGTTTTTATTATTTATTTGTGAAGAACATAACATTCATATAATAAGAATGAATATTTACAATAATTACTAAAATATTTAATGATAAGTTGATTATAATAATCAGGTATTTTAATATTAGTATTAGCCCATTCTTAGCATAGATGAAGGGAGACTAGTATTTTTAATGGGAGTTGAAATATTAATTTGCAAAAGAGTATTTAAAATAAATTCATTATTTTATAAGATAATCAAATTTTTCAAATATTTATAATTGGACTTTTGCCGTTTCGGCATTCTTAACATTGTGCCAAAACTAAATAACCTTTCAATTGGAGCTGATGAAGGTATTGCAGTATTATATTTATAAAAAATTTCCCATTATATTCAAATCGTACTTATTAAAAATTTCAAAAAGATACTGAGTACAAGATAAAAATATTTTTGACTTCGATTGAAAAAAAGTTATTAAAAAATCTAAAATCTAGCAATAACTATTATAATTCTGTGTTTGATCATTTTACTCAAAAACAAAATATACTTATTTATATATTTTAATCTTTTTATGGTTTGACTAAAAATAAAAATTCTATTGCTTCCCTAGTAGTGAATTTGACGCTTCGTCACTGCTTTGAAACTATATAAATATTGAAGTTTATCATAAGTACTCTAAAATTTAAGTGGCACGCTTTTACCTGGTAAGAAAATTCAACTTATTTAAGAATGAACATAAAGTAGTAATAATAATTTTAGGGATTTATTTATTATTTATGTCATAAAAAATTTTAAATATATAATATATATTTTGTAAACAATATTAAAAATAATATATTTCCATTGCGATTATAATAAGTTAACATATTAGTATAACGCTATATAAATATGATTAAAACATGGTATGGAAATTTATTAAAAATGGTTTAGTGCGTGTTAACTATATAAATAAAATGTCGATGACGAAACAATATAAGGTATATGTAAAAAAAAATTAAAAACTATAAATTTTGAAAATGACGTATACCACCTCTGTCAAACCCGACTATAAATACTCGGATTAATAGTAATGTTATCCTTTATTGACAATATAAAACAATATAGTTAGACAATGGCAGAAAAATTAGAGTGATTTGATTTTTTTGAATATAAAAATTTTGATATTTTCTCCAAATATTCTATAGGGGTAAAAAAACCTCCACAGTATAGTATTATATTTTCCTTAATTTTATCGTCTAATATACAATATTTTTTTTTTCTTTCCGTAACCTTTCTGCCATCATCTAATTGGATTAATTTCAAGTCCATATCTTGTTCTATAATTTTTATGGTGTCAATAAAGAGATAAATATTAGGATGCGAATAAGGAATGTATTCCCTTAATGAACGATGAAACCCTTCCACATGGTTATTCGTCCTCACGCCCCTAATATCAAATGTACAGATTTGATATTTAAATTTTGCATTAAAATTAATCCAAGTATTTTCAAAATAGTTTAAAAAATCATGTATTGAATTTATTCTAAAAACTTCAGCTTGTCGCCGAAGATCGTTAATTAAAAATTGCACATCCCTTTCTAACAAAAAAGGAATGGCCATTATAATTCGAAAAATTTTTTTTATTTCAATATTTTGTCTAAATAGTCGGGTTAGATGACTATCTTGAATGCGCCTAATAACGCACTGACAGAAGTGGAAATAACAGCCCTTAACTATAATAGTGCGAAAAACAACTTTAAGGGCTAAGTATACGCCAATTTCAAAATCAATAGTGGCAAAACGGGGGGAAAAAATAACCCTAAAGATAAACAATGATTTTTTAATAATAAAAACATATTTAAATAAGTATTTTTATATTTATCTGGCAATATAAAATTGTTTAAATAATTTAGGAGAGGCATTAAAAGTACCGTCTAAAAAAATTTTTTCAGCCAAACATAGGCGTGATAAAAGTTTATAAGTTGTAAAAATAAATATTTTATTATCTTCACTATTAAAAAATAAAAACTGTCTCCGATCAATTGTTAATTTGTGTTCATCATGTAAAATAATACTGGAATTATTTATAGGGAATGAAGGTCTAGTTGACTGAACAACTCGACCCATTATAGATTTCACCGCCAAAAATGTTGGCAAAGTCTTTGGATGATTTATACAATATAAATCTAATTTTCTTGTCCTCATGACTTTTTGATAAATTTTTAGAATACTCAAATGAGTATCTATATTTATTTGGTCTTTTAGAAGATTTATTGTTACAAGAAAGTGGTAATACTCCTCGTCATCGAGGTGGTTATGTGTTTGGGTCACAGTAAAATGTGACCCAAATTTACCCCTACCCTTACAAGTATTCTTTCGGCATTTGTAATATAGGTCGCCAAAATCATGGCTGTATAAATATTTGTTATAATATATCATTTTTTTGCTGTTTTTTGATGTTATTAAACTATATTGATTGTTTTGAATGATAGCTATGTTTAAAAATGATATAAATATCTATAAGATACTATTTACTTGGACTATTGATAATTCTGTTATGGGCATCTATTTCTTCCATTACCTCTGGGTTCATAACTTTGTTAAAAAATTGATAGCACAAATATATAATTGAAATTTACTTGGACTATTTGTGATGTCCAAAACTTGTAGATTAAGAGCTTTAAAAAATTATTGTAAATATATATATGATATTTTACTTTGGCATTCTGCAGTGCATACATTTGATGCTATAATATAAATACACATGATTCAGTAATTAAGTTTTTAATTTTTTATACTTGGTGAAAATAATGATATATTTGTCTGTGTAGAGGCGTCCATTAATAGAGCATTGTCAGCTAAAATATATTTATATGAAATATTTAGCTATAAAAATCACTTTGTGTTGATATCGATATATATCTTTTCTTAGGGCTATCAGAGTCTTAAAGAAATAAAAATTTGAGCATATAAGATAATATAAATCACAATTATTTACCTTGAACAGGGAGTTTCATAGATGGACCTTGAAAGTCAGAGGTTAGACTTAGAGAATCATCTAAATTGGAATATTAATTGGATAATATATGGTAAAATATTTATACCTATAATTTGAGTATTTAAAATAATTTATAAATCACAATTATTTACCTTGAACAGGGAGTTTCATAGATGGACCTTGAAAGTCAGAGGTTAGACTTAGAGAATCATCTAAATTGGAATATTAATTGGATAATATATGGTAAAATATTTATACCTATAATCTGAGTATTTAAAATAATATATGGTAAAATATTTATACCTATAATTTGAGTATTTAAAATAATTTATAAATCACAATTATTTACCTTGAACAGGGAGTTTCATAGATGGACCTTGAAAGTCAGAGGTTAGACTTAGAGAATCATCTAAATTGGAATATTAATTGGATAATATATGGTAAAATATTTATACCTATAATCTGAGTATTTAAAATAATATATGGTAAAATATTTATACCTATAATTTGAGTATTTAAAATAATTTATAAATCACAATTATTTACCTTGAACAGGGAGTTTCATAGATGGACCTTGAAAGTCAGAGGTTAGACTTAGAGAATCATCTAAATTGGAATATTAATTGGATAATATATGGTAAAATATTTATAACTATTTACTTTGAATTGGCTTGCATGTTTCTAAATGTTTTACAGTGATACTAAATTCAGTATAGCTCTTCCTCCACATCTTCTTCTGCATGTGTAATATATAGCGTTCTTTCCATATTTATGCAAGATATAATCATATCCTGCATAAATTATGCAATATTTATTTTTACTAGTTTTCTAAAAAAATTAATTATTATATGCAAATTAAATAATATATACTTTAATTTCCAATTTTCTTATTGATAATTGTTGCGATTTAGCATTAATCTCTTGGATTTTCATAATTATTTTGGGAACAAACTACTTTGGGAACGATGGCTTTTTTTTGGGAACGAACTATTGCAATTACGACAAAAAACCTATTTCCTAAATTTTCATACGAATTAGAGGGACGATACCTAAATTTTAGTAAATACCTTAATCAAATATTTAATATAATTATATAATTAATATTAAAATCATTTAATATAAATTTTAATAAATATAAAATTGTAATATTTAACATAATATATTATTAATATAATATTTAAAGTAATTAAATTAATTTGATATAAAGAAAAATATATAAATTGTAATAAGTATATAATTGTAATATTTAACATAAATAAATATAATAATATATTGAAATTAATTTAATATAAATTTTAGTAATATATATTTATAAATTTTAGTAATATATAATTATAAATTTTAGTAATATATAATTATAATATTTAATATGATTTAATTATAATATAATAATTAATATATAATTAAAATAGTATAATTTATATTATATATTTATAATATTATTTACATATTTTATATATTTATAATATTATTTATCTATTTAATATAATTTATTTATAATTCAATATTATATATAATACAATATGGTTAATATTACTAGGAACTCCATTTATAAAATTTTTATCGTAGAGATTTATACTTATTATTCCTATAAATATCGGATTTACTCATATTTTAATTTCTTTATAGATTTCTATATATAAATTTATATTTATTGAGACTATATATTGATGAAGTTATATAAAATAAAGATTGCAATTTGCATATCAATTATAAAATTATATTTATTAAGACTGTATATTGATGGTGGTGTATAAATATTTGTATATATTGCAATTGAATATTAATTGTTTATAAAATGATTACAATTTGTATATCAATAGGTGGTATATAAAATAATGATTGCAATTTGTATTTCAATAGTAATATATAAAATTATGGTAATTACTTTTTGCATATCAATATTATATAAAATGGTGTAAATTTGGTATAAAAAATTTTAACAGCATGATCATAATATTAATAAAGAGTGATGTGAATTTTCAGGTAAAAACCTAATAATTAATAAATATCTATGTAAGCATCAATGACATATGTCATTGGTATACATATAATAGTTTTCTCTATTTTGAGAATATAAATAATTATTAGAAAATAGTAGATTTTTATTAAATTTAGATTTTATAAATTTATATTGGGCATTTTGCTTTAAAAAAATTAATTGATTTATTGAATAATCATAATTTCCAGATAAAACTAGTAGCATATTTTAAATTTTCTTTGGTTGGTTGGAGTTCCTGAATAGATTATATCAAGTGATGCTAAGATTAAAATTTTCAGGTTAACAAGATAGCATATTTTAAATTTACTTTGGTTGGTTGGAGTTCCTGAATAAATTATATCAAGTGATGCTAAGATTAAAATTTCCAGGTTTACAAGATAGCATATTTTAAATTTACTTTGGTTGGTTGGAGTTCCTAAATGGATTATATCAAGTGATGCTAAGATTAAAATTTCCAGGTTAACAAGATAGCATATTTTAAATTTACCTTGATTAGTTGGAGTTCCTGAATGGATTATCAATTGTACTAAGAAGAAAATTTCCAGGTTAACAAGATAGCATATTAGTAATATATTCTAAGAAGAAATTTCCAAATTAAGAAGATAGCATAATAATAATATATTTTGAAATTTACCTGGGTTGGTTATGGTCTCAAATGATGCTGGAGAAAATATTATTGAGCAATCAGCTTGTTAAATTAAGCATACAAATTTTAAGCTTAAGCAAAATTTAGCAAAAAGTCACGCGACAAAACATCAAAACACAAAAAAAAGTATATCATGCGGCACGATACGGTTTAATATAATATAAATTTTTTATATATCATCTAATCTAATATATATTTTCGTCCAATTTATGGTTTTTAAATACATTATAATATATTATTGATCTTTCAAATTAATATATTTCTAAATATATTTGATATTGATAAAAAACTATTATTTAATTTCAGATATCATAAATGTCAAGCTTGATCAATGAGGAAGCGCCTGCTCTCTTGAAGCAATTATCAATTCTGGCTGGTAATAAAGATCTAAATAAAAATGCACTGCCTGAATATTTTTCCAATTATGCACAAATGGCAAATCGCAGAGTTTATTCAGAAGAAGTTAGTAAAGACTGTATCAGTTATGACAAATTAAAAGTTTTTACAAACCAGCGTCAATCATCTTCATTCATGATTACTCAAACTAATAAAGTCTCTTTAAAAACAAAGCTTATTCAAATATCAGATATTGAATGTTATCTTCTTGATTTTTACCTTCAAAGGTTATTATTAATTCTATTAAACATTAATAAATTATTTAATATTATGAATTAAATATTAATTAGGAATGGCACCAAAAATTAATATTAAAATGCACAATATAATTTTAGTCAATTTTATTTTTTCTGAGATTTTTGAGCTAAAATAAAGAGATCTTTATTTTGTGGTATAAAACAAGTCTAAAAGTAGGACTAAATTTATATTTACCTTATTAACGGAAAATATTTTTTTATATTATTTCCCTTATTTAGAGTCTGTTATAATTTTTATTTTAAATAATTGAAATTGATATTCCATGTTGGGATGTGAGCTGTTGACTCTGCATTGGATTAGTGTTTTTAAAAAGCCCAATTTGGCACAATTTCTAAAAATGGCTCAATTAAGATTTTAGTAAAATAAAATTATATAAGCCTCAGGATTTGACAGATAGATCATCTATGAGAAAAATCACCAAATCTTAATCAGACCATTTTTAAAAATCAACCTGAATTGGGCTTTTTAACAATACTACATTGGAGAATTTGCTAGCCACAATAAGAGATTTGGTTTAGCTGTGTTGTCAAGTTTGCTGGAAATTTTTCCTACAAGGCAATATACATTAGAATGGAGCAGGTTTAAACCTATACCTAAATATTTTACAAAAATTCATGCCAGATATGAGCTTATTAATTCTAAAATAAAATGTTACTCTTTTTTTAAAAAAATAATTAAAACTTCTTTGTGGGATTAGGACAGAACAATTGGGATTTTTATTTTATTAAACTATAAAAAGGTGCTATTATATTTAATAAAAAATTTTAGGCCACATTTGATAGGGTTGGACAAAATAGTTTGTCAGGAATGTTTAAAAATATATATAGCTAAACCATGATCTACTTTAATATTTTGTTAAATAAGGTACTTGATTTGACACTGACATATTTCTTAGCATATACCTAGCTTCTAAACATTAAACATGTTTTAAACTTAACAACCAGTGAGAACAATAACAAAGGAACATGAAAATTTCTGAATCTAAGATATAAGTATCTTAGACAAAGACAATGGACAAAAAGACACTAGAAAAAAAATATACCCCAATTATAATAGAATTTTTAAATGCTTAGAATTTAAAAAAACTATTTGAAAATATTTTACACTTAGGTTTCAGGGTAAAAAAATCAAATATTTGAAGTTATAAATTTATACAAATCTTAATTTTCATATTATAATGTAATATACCAAACGATGACTAAATTTTATTAAGCCATTTTTTTAATTTATAATATTAATCTTACCCCTATATCAATGCTGAATTTATTAAACAATGACTAAATTAATTCTACCCTATATCCACACTGGATTGTTGCAATATCTTTTCTTAGCTAACTACTGGTTCTAATTTTCTTCAGAAAAAGAGATCCCCAAAAATCAATCCTGCAGGTAATTAAAAGCATAACGGGATAACTTAGATGTATTAACTTAACATTACCCATTAAACCACTAGAAGGCTTTACAATATTCATAAAAATTTGAGTATTTATTTAAAAAATTAACTAACTGCTCTTAATGAATCAGAAGAAGGGGATCTGAAAAATTGGCCCAACGGGAATCAAATGCATAAACACAATATTTAGAAGCATTAACCCAACCTTAACCATTACACCACTTGGGCGCCTTAAAATATTTATTTAAATCGAGTATTTATTTTAAAAATTAAATCTAATTTTTTTTATAAACTTTTGCTTGAAATATATTTTAACCCTACTCCCATATCTGTGCTAGCCAGCTACTATTTCTCTAATCCTTAGTTAACTGCTTGTGCTGGCTATACCTACCAAAATACGAATCGGATATTTGCATTATATTTTTGAATTGAATAATTATTTTTCTTATTTATATGAATAATAAAAACATTATTCGATTTGATTCTTCGAATATTCGATTCGACAATTAAATTCTTTAAAATCATTTTCAAAAATGAAAAAATGGTTTATTAAAATTTAAAAACTAATATATAGATGTAAAAAGTAAAAAAATAAAAAGTTCCTGAAGGAACATTAAATACTTTAGAATAATTTTAAATATTTATGAATAAATGAAAATGGTTCCACGTCAATTCGGCGCAGCGTCAACTCAACGCGGCGACAATTCGACGCGAAGTCAATTCGACGTGGTCTTATTAATTATTTCTTCATTTTTTTATTTACAAAAATCTCAATATTATTTGCTAAATGTGTAACATTAATAAAAATTTAATAATATCAAAAAATTAATAAACCAACATTTGTACCGATTTCTTTGGTGGACCAATTTGCCATGTTATAAGATATGTGGATCTATAAAAAAAATTTAATTATTTAAACAAGAGTTTCGAACCATTAAGTATAGCGGTTCGGTTCGTTTTTAGTTTACAATTTTATAAAGATTTTGTTTCATATCGGTTTTTTTGAAGAATATTATTTAGGTTCGGTTTGGAATTTATAACGTTCTTTTCGGTTCATGCCGGTTTTTATAAATTTAATTTTATTAAAAAAATTATTCATAAACATATATATATATATATATACTATATTACTCTTAGAAAAAAATCTTTTTGATTTATATTTTTATAATTCCTTATTTAATTTAACCATCTCTTTTAAATGTGTATATAAAAACAATAATCGGTATTTATTGATATGAAGATAATAGCTAAGTATAAAATATTTTAATTTGATAAGAAATCACGAATTTAAATTGCCCCCAAAGAAAATAAAATTTCAAATTTAGGTTAATAATTTTAAATTAATTATTTTAAAAAACCGTTGTGAACCGGTTTAAATTGGTTCAAGAATATTTATAACAGTTCGGTTCACTCTTTTTATATTTTTATAAAGGTTCGGTGATTCAGAAAATTATAATGGTTCGTTCCTGTTTCGCGGTTTGGTTCATAACCCTGATTTAAAAATGATATTTATATTTTATGATTAATATAATTATTTTAAGGATTTTTAACAAATCTATAAAATGAGTCAGTCTTAAAGGAAAATTTATTTTTAAGTCAAAAATTATTTTCTAAATTAATACAATCGCTGGATATGATTGGAAAATGCACGAGACTTCCCTTTTGTTAATTCCTTACTTCTAAAAAATAATTTGAATTTTTTTGAATCAACATATATTATAACATAGTAAATTGGTCCACCAAAGAAATCAGAGTATAAATATTCGTTTATTAAATTAATTTTTTTTTTGATATCCAACCCTCAACATGACCTTAATTTAATGATCCCTTTATTTTATCCTAATAAATTGCAACCATATTAGATACGCGCCGAATTTTCCGCTCCGAGATGACTTGATGCCAATAAAAATATTTAAAATAATTTCCAATATTTTCGAATATTTACAAATAATTTAATTATACAAATAATTTAGAATAATTCGATCGAATAATAGATAAGAAATTATTCAGCTAATATATTTTCCTTATTCATTCATATTCGTTCGAATGAAATTTTTTATGCATGTTTAAAATACGAATTGAATAACGAATAATTTGTTTTAGGCATAGTGCTGGCTAGCTTTAGAAAAGAGAGTTCCAAAAAATATCGAATTGCCAACCTTTCATTTCACTTCATTTCTCCTAACCCATCGACTCACCAGTTGTCATTGTTGTAATATGTAAATTTACTTTGAAATAAAATCGAGAAAAAAGAAGTAATATTCAAATCGACTGTTAAACAGAAAAACGAAACGAATTATTATATTATTTAAGTAAAGACGATGTAAATGAATAAGATAGAAAAGTTTATATAATCGAGGATATTTTACTTGAAAAATTTTATTTTGCGAACTTAATTTTTAATCTTTTATTATTAATTTTTCTTATATTATTATATTTTTTTTATTTTAGTTATGATTATGTAATTAGTAGTTAATTTATTTATACTAATTATTTGTATTCTCTTTAATTCACAATTACAACATTTGTTATCGAAACATTATTTTCTATGGGCATATTCAGTCTAATTAACATTTCATAATTTGACAGTCATTAAAAAAACAATTGATATTTATCAATTATAACAAATTTTCTTTTGTAATCTCAAATTGTAAATAAAAACATCACCCCATTACTCACATATATGCATGTATAAAAAATTGTGTAAAAATAGTGCACAGCGGCTACGCGGCTGCGAATTTCCATGGGGGCTGTATATTTTGTAAAGAAAATTTGATGTTTATAATATTAATGTGTCAATATTATCTATTTTGTATAATATTTCAGGGGGCAAGAACCCCGCTGCCCTGACGAAAGCGGCGCCTATAACATTATTATTAACCAATTTTATTAGTAAAGATTGACATCTGTGTTGAAGAAAATTTTTTTACGAAAACCTTCCCCCTTTTCTAAGTATTTAAAAAGATTATTAAAATTTGCCTCATTTTGTCCAGGAGTATTTTTATCCCATGCCTTTTTGGCCTAGGGCTTTATTTCCATGACACTTCTGTCCGATTACCAAAATTTCTATACTCTAACAACTAGCCATCTGTATTATTCTAAACTAGATCTGCCCAGGTGAAATAATGAAATAATTAATTGAATGGGTGTTAGCACAGGAACATTTAATTTAGGATAAAAATAGTAAATAATTATTTATATAATCTCATCAAGAGTATTTTCAACATTTAGAGTGGTTCATTTCAAAATAGTTTTCTTATTTTATTAATAAATTCAAAAACATTTGTGATTTTTAATTTTTTTATTATTGGACTTTTATTTTATTATTATTGGACTTTTATTTTTTTATTTTACAAACTGATTTTATTTTTTTATTGGAAACAATATAATAGAAAAATTTAAATGAAAAATATTTAGATTCATATTAGATTAAGTTATATATTTTATTTTAAATTCGAAATATTAAATAATTTCTCACTATTGATTAGAATGAATTATTTTTATACATTATGATAAAAATTTGAAATATAAAAGGAATGAAATCGAAATAAAAAATTTTTATATAATAAATAATTA